GAGCAGCTCTCGGTGGCCGAGATCACCAATGCCTGCTTTGAGCCGGCCAACCAGATGGTGAAGTGTGACCCTCGCCATGGCAAGTACATGGCCTGCTGCATGTTGTACAGGGGAGATGTGGTTCCAAAAGATGTCAATGCAGCCATCGCCACCATCAAGACCAAGCGCACCATCCAGTTTGTGGATTGGTGCCCCACTGGGTTTAAGGTAGGACTGGGTACTTTTTAGTCACCTTGCTAGTCAGGGAGCAGCAGGTGCACACTGGTGCTGACCCTCAAGGCACACCTTCAGAGAGGTTGCCTCTTTTGATGTTAATGAGACTTCAAGGAGAGCAGTCCTTAATTAGCTAACAGCTTCATACTTCATGTAATACATTCAGTCTGTGCACTTCTTTTTTAAAACCATGCTTTAAAGTTGATAGTGAGGTTGGTGTTGCTAGTTTCTTAGTAGTTTAGAAGACTGAGGCTGAGACACCTTTAAGGGGCCTGCAAATGATGGGAAGGAGAATTCAGAAATGGTCTGGCAGAAGACTCTGGTCTCGTTTCCCTCACCTCTCTACTGACTTTAGACATTTGTCAGGGCCTATGATTCCATTTTGGTTGGTCCAAATGGTAGATTTTTACTTTACTTGATGTTGTTCACCTGTAGTCCCTGAATTTTAGGAATTACTTATGTTTATATGAATGGATTGTTAATGTGTATCTCAGTGTTTTTTTATTTTTAAATTTTTAGTTGTAGATTCACACTTCTTAATTTAATTTATTTATTTAGTGGGGCTGAGGATCACCCCCAGTGCTCCATGCATGCGAGGCAAGTGCTCTTCCACTGAGCCACAACCTCAGTCCTAAGCATTTAGGTGTAGACAAAGGGTAGGTTTGATGTCATAAGGAAACATTTATTATAGGGAAAGCACCATGTATCTGGAAGCCATCCTAGACTCTCAGGCTGTAACACCTGTTGGATTACCAGACTAAATGCTTTCCCATACATGTGTTCCTCAACTCTTTGCCCTCTGGTTTGTGGATATCAGTCCTTATCCATAATAGTTTTGCATTTATTCCAAGCTCTGGGCCCCGATTTTTTTTTTTTTTTTAAGGATTGAACAGTGATTGAACATAGTGGCTCTTACCACTGGGCCACATCCCCAACACTTTTATATTTTGAGACAGAGTCTCCCTAAGTTGTTTAGATACTAGCTAGACTGCTAAGGCTGACTTTGAACTCTGAATCCTGCTGCCTCAACCTCCCAAGTTGCTGGGGTTACAGGTGTGCGCCACCAAGCCCAACTGGGCCCCATATTTGTAAGCCCTGATGAGTTCCTGAGGTGTTGGGGGAGGTAAAGGTCATTCCAGATGAAAACATAAAAGGAATGTGTGTTAATCATCATCTTCTGATGTGGAATGGCCATGGCTTGCCTGTTACTACAGGAAGCGTTTTGAAACCTCTCAGCCCCAGTTCACAAAGACATCTGCACACAGATTACTGGTAAGAGGGTATTTTTCATTTGTCAAGTTTAAAGTAACTCATAGAAGCAGGTAAAATCTACTACAGACTTTACTGACCTTGAAATAGTCAACAAATGTAAGACAGGGGTAGCAGAAGCTAGTTAGAGGTTACAGGTAGTTGTTGAAACTTTCCATTTTGTTTCTAATTTTTAAGACTTTGGTTTGAGAAGCAAAAATATTATTCCAATAGGTGAGACATTTGGGAGTTGAGGACATATAAAGCAGCCTTAGTTGGCAGGGCATGTGCAAGATGCTTGTCCAGGTTTTCTGTCCTAGCTGAGTGGTTCTAAGAGGCAGCAGGGAGGCAGGTCTGTAGGAAAGTGTGTGTCACAGCCTCTGCTGTCCCCTTATAGAAGACCATCCAGCACCAGGTGGGCCTTGTTGAATTCTCCTTGCTCTAAGTTCTTTTTTGTCAGTYGGAGTGTGACTTGGCAGCCATTCTTTTGCAACCATTTGTTGAGGGATACACTATTTTCAAGGAGTCTCTTCCGTGATTAAAACCATTTGGCTTTTTTTTTTTAATACTCAACATCTTTTGTTTTTATTTATTTGTTTATTGTATGTGGTGCCAGGAATCAAACCCAGTGCCCCATGCTTGCTAGGCAAATGCTCTACCACTGAGCCACAGCCCTGGCCTTTTTTTTTTTTTTTTTTTTACTATTTAGTTTTTAGATATAGTTGGACATAGTACCTTTATTTTATTTATTTATTTTTATATGGTGCTGAAGATCAAACCCTGGGCATTGGGCGTGCTAGGCAAGTGCTCTACTGCTGAGCCACATGGGAGGCACTGGGTTCAATCCTCAACTCCATCATTTGGCCTTTTTATACTACAAAATCAGT